TTCCAGGATGCTTTCGTGAACTGGCTGTGTTGGTGTTAGATTAGATTAGAATTCGGCCATTTTGACTAACACCTACTTTTTCAAAATGACGTATTCGATATTTTTCAATAAAACATAGCCCGAAAACGGCTCATCTAATTGAAATGAAGTCTGAGACAAAGTTTTAGGAAACTGGATTGACTTGAATATTCAAATTTTACATAGGTATCTTTGATTTCTCTTCAAATATTGTTTGTAGCTGTCAGAAAAATAATATATTTGGTTTTTTTAGTCACATTGACGTTTTATCGAAATGATATAATTGATGTATTTAACACTACACTTAACACTCCACATCTCGATGTCCAATAACTCAATATCGAGTTAAAAAACCATAGCAAAAATGATTTACATGAAATGATTTTGAAGTGCCAAAATATTTGAACAAGAAAAATCCTGATTCAAAGTTTACATTAGTTTAAGAAAATATCAATGCTTCTCAAATATTTTTAATAATAGGAAATTCAATAAATTGCAACTCTAGTAAAACAAAAATCATTAATTTGTTACATTAAATCAACGAAATTTTGAAAACATGACTAAGTTGTCTGAATCTCTGGGACCTACCTACGATCAAGACAAAATATAAACCCAAGGGTGGCTCTAAGGCACTAGCGTGCACAGGAATCTTTTTTAAGGAGGGGCAATTTTTTCTATGGTGCATTCAACCTGGGTATGGGGAGTACTCCAAAGTGCGTGGTGGATGGTGCTATCCACCCACCACTGTTTTCTTACTATTCAATTTAGCTAATTTTATTTATTTTTTGCTCTGGTGGTGGTTCATCTTCTTCAATGCAAACTGCTTTCAGACAGCCAATGGATATTGGCAATTTAAGTTTCGTTAAAAAGTTGCGATAGTAGGCCTTTAACCGAAATGATACATTTGCTGCAATATTGTTGCCTTGGTGGTTGGATTCAGCTGAAGTCACGTCAGATGGTGGTAATAGCACCGACAAACCAACATGAATGACCAATAAGAATCGCATTCTCCTTTCGCATGTAAACAGTGCGCATAGCAGTGAACAAACAAAGTTTATGGTTTTAAAAAATTTCCACGCTTCCATACTACCAACATGGGAATCACTGCGATTTTGTTTGCCCAGCAAGTCAGTCGCTGTCTTCCAATTTCTGAACCCTGTAGGAATCGGATCTTTCGAAAAGACCGGCAGAGAAATGTTTGATTGAGTGGAATTGGTTCTAAAAATCCAGAATAACATAGAAAATAGTTTTTGAAGTTTTTACAATTTCTTGGAAGTTACATATAGTTACAGTTCCAATAATATTTTGATAGAAAAATATTGCAATAATTTTTTGCGTCATGCTCTTCTTTCCAGGTTAAAAATATAAACAAATGAAAATATAATCTTCAGTTACCTTTCTAAAAATTTTTGCAGTGCTTGGAACTGTCCTCAGAATTCAATTTCCTGAGGTTCTTCTAGGATTTTTTAGAACTCTCCTAAGAGCTCTTTTTAAATTCTTCTCAGAGGTCCACTGGAATTATATTTTTTTTTTTTGTTTATTAATTTATTTGATAAGGCTCAACCGAATTAACTTTACAGAGCCGAGGATTCTTGGTCACTATACAATACATTTTAAAACTATAGTCAAAAGGTACAACACAATAAACACTTTATCTTCCGCTATCCAAAAAGCCTCCTCCATCAGAACTGGAGCCGCTTCCAGTAGTTTCATTGTATGGCAAATTGTTGTACGCCAACGAGGGTCAGAGCGCGTCCATTGCAGCAATGGACGCAAAACGTGGTCAGCACTCACACACTCATCACGAAACGGTTGCTTTCCAAAGTCGACGACGCATCGACCGAAAGAACTGCTGATGAAGAACAATGAGGAGGACCACACAATGGTTGCTGCCGAGAAAACAGACGATCGCGTAGCACACATCGAGAGGGGCCTGCTTTTGTCGACAGCCGAGTGAACACTGAATTATATTTAGAACTCTTCACTTTTCTCAGAACACTTTTAGAGTTTCAGAAATTTTTCCTGGAATGAACTAGAAATTATCCTCGGAATTCGCTTGAAATTTTGCTTAAAATCCCTTTGAAATTTCATTCAAAATTTTCACGGCATTCTTTTCGAAATTTTCTAGGAATTATCTGCAGGATTAACTTGAAATTATTCGCAGAATTTTCATGGAATCATCCCCAGAAATGTTTTATTTTGGAATTCAGAATTCAATACCCTGAGGTTCTTCTCGGAAGTCAAGTTTAAGTTGTCCGTCCATTCACCAAAACGTTGTAGTTTTTCTACCAGAAATGTTCAATAAATCTTGCCCCTCCATTCACCAGAACTGTGCAATTTTTACATCAGGAATTTTCAATTCAGCTTGCCCCTGCAGACAGCAGATTGTTGCAAATCTTACACCATAAATTTTCAATACAAACTTGCCCCCAGGAGATTTTACACCAAAAAATTTCAATTGACCAGAACGATGCAAATTTTCCACCGTTAATGTTCAATAAAAATTGCTTCTCCAATCTTCTGATTGGTGCAGATTTCCTTTTCCCATGTTCCATCAGACATTTTCAATAAAGCTTGCTTCTCCTATCATCAGAATGTTGCAGTTTTTTCTCCAAATAAAGCTGCCCCTATTTACAGATTTTTTATCAAAAAATTTCAGTAAAGCAGCTTCCCTGCAATTATCAGAATGGTGCAAATTTTACACCAGAAATTATTATCAAAGTTTGTTTCACTATTCAGCAGAAGAATGCAAATTTAAGACCAAAAATTTTCCGAAAAGCTTGCCTATCCGTTCATCAGAACGGTGCAGATTTTCCACCAGAAATTTTCAATACAGCTTAATTTTAAATAAAGCTTGTGCATTAATTTACCAGACCAGTGCATGTTTTCCACCAGAAATTTTCTGTTCATTTCATTTATCAGAGTGATACAAATTTTGAACCAGAAATTTTCAATAAAGGGTGCACCAAAAATTGTCAGTGAAGTTTATTTCACCAGTTTGTGCAATTTTCAGGCTTTGCCTCTTCATGCACCAGAATGGTGCAAATTTTCCACCATAAATTTTCAATGAAGCTTGCACTCATCAGAACGATGCAAATTATGCACCCGAAAAATGAATAAACCTAGCTTCTACATTTACCACAGTGATGCGAACTTTCCACCAGAAATTTTCAGTTAAATGTGCACCTCCAAATTTTTAGAGTGATTCAATTTTTCCACCAGAGTTGTTCATTTATGTTACATCACAATTTTGTAAGTGTGGTTATATCATAATTTTGTAATTGTGGAAATAAAAACCTTGTTTATAGAAGGGGGGCTATTGCCCCACCTTGCTCCACCCTGTGCACGCCAGTGCTCTAAGGGGTTAGTAACTCCGTACAGTGTGCCAATAACGCAAGAAAACATCTTGAAAATCTTTCGAAGCTTCATTTTTTTTGCTGAAACAGCTCACGAAATCGTATATACATGCTGTCAAATCTCTTGGCTTCTCCTTCTCTGTTCCACAAATAACGTATACATGGTGTTAGGAGTGCAGTTCCTCACAAAGCTCACATGACTCTTATAAAATTTGATTAAATTCTTGTTTCAGCTATTCGTAATTCTTAATTTGTTTTCAGTAGGTGGCAATACCTTTACTTGTGGTTAAAACAGTAACCACCCACATGACTTCTGAGCTCTTTTGAATGTTTGGCTTCCGTTTGACAGTTCGACTCGGCTCCCAGATGACAAACATTTTGAGTTAGTTCGCAATACTCAGGTTCAACCGGTCTGGACAGAGCAATGAATTGAATAGTGCAGTCGTGCAGTGCTCTCACACTCAGCCTAAGCAGTCAATAATTTTACGCTCTGCCCATGGTTATACATTATCATGATCTTAGAAGTTACTGGTAACACTCATTGGCGTAGCTAGACAATTTATCTGGAGGGGGCCTGGCCCCCCTGGCACCTCCATTAGCTACGCCAATGGTAACACTGTAGGGGACAATGGTCATAATTGACAGTGCTATTTCTTTTTTAAGGGGCTCATGTATGAACAATTTGGATAGTTGCTAAAGGATTGTGATGATCAACCAATTTTCAGCTTGACGGCTCAGTCCAACTAACGAAAGTCTTTCATTAAGTGGGCTACAGGTTTAGCCCAACGAGCGAAAGTTGACTGTTTCTCTGCCCCTGCGCAGCGCATGTCTCATTTCATTGCTGTTTATAAAATCAATTTTTGCGCATGGCCAATGACAATAACTCAGAGAGAGGGTCACTTTTGCTCAGAGGAATGTTGTAATTGCTAAAAACTGCAAGAACTCAGCGCTGAGTACCGGTAGGTTTTATAAATTTCTCATACAACTGAGTAAAAGTGACTCTCGCTCTGAATTATTCTCATTGGCCATGCAAGTTGAAACAAAACCTCAAATTTTCGCCTAGTTCCTGTGGAATAGTGTACTGTGATGCGTGGATACCCCAAAATCGTGATAGATTCCCCACGAAATTCCTCAACAGCACACATCATAATTCCTGTCCGAATTATTTTTGTTTATTATTATTAAAATTATTTGATTATAAGAGAAAATCTGAAAACTTTTTGAAAACTTAGGGAAGTTTGAAGATTAAATGAAGTTCTGTGAGCGTCAAACAAGTATCAAAAACTTCTTATCTCATCTAATCTAATCTAATACAAACGGAGCAAGTAAGCACGTCCACCTTTCTAGACAGAACCGGAAATCGAACTCGCTACCTCCAACTTGACAATACAGTGCCTTGACTGACTAGGGTATCTGACCCTCCGCCAGGCTAATCAAAATACCATAACACGGCGTGACACACTAAGCGTCTCCATTTAATAATCAACTCACTTAAGCTCAACCTCACTCGCCGTATGTGTTCCTCGGCGCGGCAGCGAAAACCCGTCAATGTGTAATCATTCCTGCTCTCGACAAGTACAAAAGCCTGCCACTCAAAATCACTTTTCCCGCTTTTCTACTCCGCAGAGAACAGTGACGAAGTCGAGGAAGACACGCTGAGCTCCAGTGCCAGCAGTAGCAGCAATAAAAACCTCTCGTCAAAGATGACAAAAACAACCACTTCCTACTGCTTCATGCGGCACCATCAACAGCAACAACAGCAACAACAAACGCAGCAATCCACGACGATGAAGTCACATCACAGCAGAAACAATTCATTAAGGGTGCACCGTTCGACGGCTTCACCGTCGCCATCTCCATCGTTGGCCCTGGGGGTAGGATCAATCTCACCCTCCCCCTCGATTGTGTCAGTTTTCAATCAAGGTGCCAATAAAGCCCCTCTGAGTGGCTCCTGTTCTTCCTTTTCGTCAACAACGGCTGTCACTGCTACCAACTGTCCCACCTGCGGCAACTGCCTGCAGCTCGGAAGCTGCTGCTGTTCGACACAGGTAAACGACACCCACCCACACATATTTACACACAACAGCACGTGCTTGCTCACATCCGTTGTTCTATTGTTTGCTTTCAAAGGACTTTCTCAAGCACCAAAAATCACCCGTTTTCAACCGGAGGCGTTCGTCGTCGATCAGCGTGGCGCGTCCCACACCGGATCTGTACCGGTTCCTGAAGACGGAGGTGCCCTCCCAGCAACCACTGTCACCCGGAGCGAGGTAAGTGCGCTCACAAAATTAATGCAAATTACATGTCACCCCGGACGCCCGCGTTCATCCATCAGGAATTACAAACCATTGCTGTGTGAGAGAGAACGCATGTTCTTCGAAAATCATCCTTCCATCGGCAAAATAGTAGGCCGTTGTAAAAGCTTCTTTATTGTGAAATCCCGTCGATTTACGGCCTCCCGAGCAGGAGGAAATAACTTATGGAAATTTTGTGTTGATCAGCCTGACATGAGTGGTAAAATCAAAATACTTCGTCAATAACAAAAATTGATATTTGAATACCAAAAGAATACCCTGGGTGGTCTTGTTTTGGTATTGCATTTGCATAATTTGGTATTGGAATGGTATTGTGGGAACATTTTTTTGGTATTTTACCTCAGGCTTAGTTCACACCAATTGAAGGTATCGAGATATTCCTTCCTGCTCGGGCTACTACGATCAGAACGTGCCCGCCGGAGCAGGCAGCTAAATAAGCACATTGTGCACACCCGGCGTAGAATCGTACGATATTTTTAGCGATGCAAGTTGCTTCCACGTAGCGTCGCGCCGTCGGATACGGTTCTGCGATGTTTGTTGTTATTCTAAAATTGGATCACGTTTTCGCTGTCAGTTGGCTGGATCAACCAAGTTTGAGTAACATTTGTTTATCTATCGGTTTTAGCGAAGTTGATATTTCAGTGCCAACATTTCAAAGGGGCGTAATTGTACTTGCAAACAATGGCTTTAGCCGTCGATTTCTCAAGAATAAAAGCTCACTCATGAAAAATAATGACACCAGGTAGATGAATGTTTCCTCTACAACAGGTAGATGAATGTTTCCTCTACCAGCTAGCATTGTTTTTTTTTTAGGGGTGAGCTTTGAGTTGCGAGAAATCGACGGCTAAAGCCATTGTTTACAAAAGCAATTACGCCCCTTTGAAATGTTGGCACTGATTTGTTTGACCACGTAATGGTTTGTTTAGCGGATTTCAGAATAAGAGTGGCACAAGTCCATAATTACAGAATTAGGTCGCGATGGATGGGTTGCATGTATTCAGACGGCCTGATCATTAGGGTGGTTCTAAATATCTATTTTGCTCCATTACGCACAATCGATTTCAAATCCGGTCCTGATTATTCTCCAAAAAATTAAGCTCATTTGGAACTCATACTGCACTTGTCGTTTGAAGTTTGTATGGGAATAAGCTTGATGGATCAAATTTGATATTTTGAACCACCCTACTGATCATACGTTTTAGAATTTTGTGGAAAATTAATTACGCTTTTCCATGTACAATTTGGATTTGCTTCTGGTAAAACAAATTCGATTGCGCTTTTCCAAGTAAACTTTGACTTCAATTCTGGTAATCCAATTCGATTGCGCTTTTCCAAGTAAAATTTGGCTTCGCTGCTCATAATCCAAATTCGAAGGCACTTTTTCAAGATAAATTTGACTTCGCTTCTCGTAATCCAAATTCAAGTGCGCTTTGCCAAGTGGCTTTGCTTCTGGTAATCTTTTCGTCATTTAAATTCGATGCGCTTTTCCAAGTTGAAATTGACTTCACTGCTCATTAGACTGATGCAAAATTTGACTTTTTCGCTCCACAGTGCTTAAATGGTTTAAAATCGGGTCCTGATTAGCCTCCCAAAGTTACAACTCATTTGGTTAGAAACAGACTTCGCACAAGCCATTTGAAGTTTCCATGTAAATTACTATGGGAAATCTCAACTTTTTGTTCATCGCCTTCTAGTCTTTTTCCATATTGAGCTGCGAAACAGTTCGATAACCATTCTTATAGAAACTTTTCTCAGCTACAACTTTGCTGAAGATTGTTTCTATGTAAAACGAGACAGGAAAAAGTTATTAATTATTTAAGAGATTGGTAAACTTATGACATGATCAAGCAGCTGCTCTGTAGGCAACACTGTATTTTGCAGTGTGACATAGTAGCCATGATTTTTGTGTCCTATTCAACGCCCCAGAAACACCAATGTTGCCTGCTGAGCAGTTGATTGAGCATGATCATAAGACATCAGTGCATTGAACCATTGATAACTTTCGATCCTTGCATTTAATCAAAAAGTGGTCTTCAGCAAAGTTGTAGCTGGGAAAATTTCCTACAAGTAAAACTGACAGCTTTGGAAGCAGACCGATATGGTGAATTATTAGATAGACATGAACAAAAATCTTGGTTTTACCATAGTAATTCCCATACAAACTTCAAATGGTTTGTGCCATCTCAGTTTCTCACCAAATGGGTTCAAATTTTGAGAGGTTAGTCAGGATCCGGTTTGGAATCGTTTAAGTATTGTGGAGCGAAAAAGTCAAATTTTGCATCAGTCTACTGCTAATAATCCAAATTCAATGGCACTTTTTCAAGATAAATTTGACTTCGCTTCTCGTAATCCAAATTCGATTGCGCTTTTTGAAGTAAAATTTGACTTCAATTCTGGCAATCCAAATTCGATTGCACTTTTCCAAGTTAAATTTGACTTCGCTGCTCATAATCCAAATTCGATGGCACTTTTTCAAGATAAATTTGACTTCGCTTCTCGTAATCCAAATTTGATTGCGCTTTTCTATTTAAAATTTTGATCTGCTTCTCGTAATCCAAATTTGATTGTGCTTTTCCATCCATCTGGTAATCCAAATTCGATGCGCTTTTTCAAGTTAAATTTGACTTTGCTTCTGGTAATCCAAATTCGTTGTGCTTTCCATGTAAAATTTGGCTTTGCTTCTCGTAATCCAAATTCGATTGCACTTTTCTATTTAAAATTTTACTCTGCTTCTAGTAATCCAAATTTTATGCGCTTTACCAAGTAAAATTTGACTTCACTTCTCGTAATCCAAATTCGATTGCGCTTTTCCAAGTTGAAATTGACTTCACTGCTCATAATCCAAATTCGATGGCACTTTTTCAATATAAATTTGACGTCGCTTCTCGTAATCCAAATTCGATTGCGCTTTTCCTTGTGAAATTTGGCTTAGCTTCTGCTAATCTAAATTCGATTGCGCTTTTCCATGTAAAATTTGGCTTTGCTTCTGGTAATCCAAATTTGATTGCACTTTTCCAAGTTAAATTTGACTTCGCTTTTCATAATCCAAATTCGATAGCACTTTTTCAAGATAGATTTGACTTCGCTTCTCGTAATCCAAATTCGATTGCGCTTTTTGAAGTAAAACTTGACTTCGATTTTCGTAATCCAAATTCAAGTGCGCTTTTCTATTTAAAATTTGGCTCTGCTTCTGGTAATCCAAATTTGATTGTACTTTTCCATCCATCTGGTAATCCAAATTCGGTCAATTTTTCAAGTAAAATTTGGCTTCGCTGCTCATAATCCAAATTCGATTGCACTTTTCCAAGTTAAATTTGACTTCGCTGCTCATAATCCAAATTCGATGGCACTTTTTCAAGATAAATTTGACTTCGCTTCTCGTAATCCAAATTTGATTGCGCTTTTCTATTTAAAATTTTGATCTGCTTCTCGTAATCCAAATTTGATTGTGCTTTTCCATCCATCTGGTAATCCAAATTCGATGCGCTTTTCCAAGTAAAATTTGACTTCACTTCTCGTAATCCAAATTTGATTGCACTTTTCCAAGTTAAATTTGACTTCGCTTTTCATAATTCAAATTCGACGGCACTTTTTCAAGATAAATTTGACATCGCTTATGCTAATCCAAATTCGATTGCGCTTTTCTATTTAAAATTTTGATCTGCTTCTCGTAATCCAAATTTGATTGTGCTTTTCCATCCATCTGGTAATCCAAATTCGATGCGCTTTTCCAAGTAAAATTTGACTTCACTTCTCGTAATCCAAATTTGATTGCACTTTTCCAAGTTAAATTTGACTTCGCTTTTCATAATTCAAATTCGACGGCACTTTTTCAAGATAAATTTGACATCGCTTATGCTAATCCAAATTCGATTGCGCTTTTCTATTTAAAATTTTGATCTGCATCTAGTAATCCAAATTTGGTTATGCTTTTCCATCCATCTGGTAATTCAAATTCGATGCGCTTTTTCAAGTTAAATTTGACTTTGCTTCTGGTAATCCAAATTCGTTGTGCTTTCCATGTAAAATTTGGCTTTGCTTCTCGTAATCCAAATTCGATTGCGCTTTTCTATTTAAAATTTTACTCTGCTTCTAGTAATCCAAATTTTATGCGCTTTACCAAGTAAAATTTGACTTCACTTCTCGTAATCCAAATTCGATTGCGCTTTTCCAAGTTGAAATTGACTTCACTGCTCATAATCCAAATTCGATGGCACTTTTTCAATATAAATTTGACGTCGCTTCTCGTAATCCAAATTCGATTGCGCTTTTCCTTGTGAAATTTGGCTTAGCTTCTGCTAATCTAAATTCGATTGCGCTTTTCCATGTAAAATTTGGCTTTGCTTCTGGTAATCCAAATTTGATTGCACTTTTCCAAGTTAAATTTGACTTCGCTTTTCATAATCCAAATTCGATAGCACTTTTTCAAGATAGATTTGACTTCGCTTCTCGTAATCCAAATTCGATTGCGCTTTTTGAAGTAAAACTTGACTTCGATTTTCGTAATCCAAATTCAAGTGCGCTTTTCTATTTAAAATTTGGCTCTGCTTCTGGTAATCCAAATTTGATTGTACTTTTCCATCCATCTGGTAATCCAAATTCGGTCAATTTTTCAAGTAAAATTTGGCTTCGCTGCTCATAATCCAAATTCGATTGCACTTTTCCAAGTTAAATTTGACTTCGCTGCTCATAATCCAAATTCGATGGCACTTTTTCAAGATAAATTTGACTTCGCTTCTCGTAATCCAAATTTGATTGCGCTTTTCTATTTAAAATTTTGATCTGCTTCTCGTAATCCAAATTTGATTGTGCTTTTCCATCCATCTGGTAATCCAAATTCGATGCGCTTTTCCAAGTAAAAATTGACTTCACTTCTCGTAATCCAAATTTGATTGCACTTTTCCAAGTTAAATTTGACTTCGCTTTTCATAATTCAAATTCGACGGCACTTTTTC